ACATGCTATTTCGTGGTGGAGTAGGCGTAAGGGTAGGGAAACCCACAACGAGGGCATGCAGCTGCTGTTGACTGGTGCTGTAAACACTAAGAGTATGGGAAAAAGCATTTCATAATGTCCGAGGATGGGCTACAACGCGACACCTTCATTCCGACCCATTTAGACCCATTTAGCCTAGCCAACACCGCCCCCTGTTACTGACATGTATGGGTGGCCTGTGGCCTTCCGGGGCACGCCAACCATGTCCCATCAAATCTGGTTCGGAGTCTTAGTGGGGATTCAGTTAATCAGTGGTTGTACGATTGTGGATTGAGACCGGTGGGCCAAACGGGAGGTAGGCGTGACTACCCTGCTGCTCGAGGTTAGTCGCTTTCAGGCAACCCTGGCACGCTTATGGCATGGGGTGCGCTGGGAGAATGAGAACAAGGAGACCATGTGGCGTCTCGCCGTGAATGGCGTGCCCCTACCTGGCTTGTTTGGTGGGCTCGTTACACCTCTCTGAGTAATGCAACCGAGATGCAACAGACACACACACACATGTATACACATACATCTCCTTCCAGGCCAACAAGCAAGCATTACGTCATCTCTTCACCTGTCCCACACGTACCCTCGCTTCCAGGTGAACCCCGGCCTGGATGATATATATTTGAAACAAGAACTGTGCATGTGCCTATGTTGATCGCCTACCAGGCCTACTTAGTCAAGTAGGTAGACAGCCAGCTATCTAGCTAGTCAAACCAGCCACTTGGCCGACTGCATTCAACACGCACACTGTTACATGAGATGAGCAGGGATACAATGTGCATGTGTGTGATGCTGAGTCCCTGTATGGAGCAGGAACATTAGCCAGCAACTGCAACTTACCGGAGATCATGCTGAGGTAGCGGACCCTGTTCAGCAAGCCCTGGTGCTGCAAGCCGTGCAGACAGCCTAGGCCCAGGGTAGTGGCTATCGGAGCCTTATCACCCAGCCCCGGCAAGGTGAAGTCCGGGTCGTCAAGCTCTGGAAAGCAGATGGTGCCATCCAGGCGAGCAGGCCAGGCCTTGACAGACGTAGTATG